ATCTAAAAATACCAATGCTATAGTGCCACATCTACAAGAACCACTCGTGTCATATGCCAAATTCGGGACCTGCTACCTGCCACTCAGGTGGTCTTCTGCACCAAATACAATCACATACCCTATAAAACATATTAATGGAATTCCAACATTTTATTCCTGATTTTAAACGTACCCTAAAGACAAACCAAGTTATGTAGCCAGCCTTAATTGACAAATGTGTGGCATTTTCTAAATCAATATAGTGTAACAAGCATTAAGAACACAACTACATTAAGAACACAAATACCAATTGCTTCTACACCACATTTAGGATGACAACTATGTTTTCAGAAACCTTTTGCTTCTCATATCAATGTCGATTAATTTCCTACCATATAATAACGTGATGCAACATAAGAATAACCAATATTAGGTTCAGTACGACAATCACTATCAATAAAGCTCGAATTACATGGATTTCATGATTAACTCTCCTTCCTTCAGCTAGCATAATTTCATGTGCCTTCATCCATCTTGATAGCTCTTCAGCCAAAAGTTTCTTCTCCTTCTTCCTCCTTTCCGCCTTACACTCAGCTAGCCTCAAACTTTCTTCAATATTCAAAGTCGAACACCCAATTTCAGAGTCATGGTGCTTATCTTCATCGACATTCATTCGCACCCACCTAAAAAAACGACAGTTCTTCTTCTCGTCCTGCACCATACGACCATTTAACTTAGAACCCACATCAATGACAATTTCAAAACCCATATCTAAACACCTTACCATCCAAAATGGACACCCATAGAACTGTCTTCCTGGGTTCGCTTCGGTTCCAGATGTATTCACCACACATGGCTTCTTGTGCCAACAGAGTACCGCCCCTCGGCTATTGATGCTAGTCGAAGTTGAGGAAGATGCTCGCTTGGACATGGATGAACTTCGCGTGAAGTTCTGGCCAGGAGAAATCGCGATTTCGGGGTCGCGAATCGGCCGAGAAGAAGTGGGATTTGGGGAAGAAGGAAGAAGCGCCGAGTCGTTCAGAAACTAGAAGAAGATTTGGGGAAGAGGAGTAAGCATCGATCAGCTTCGTGTATCTCCTTCGTGGGGAAGAGGAAATTTGGGAAGAACCCTAATTTCGTTTTCTAGAAAGAGATGGAGAAGAAGGAAGCCCTAATTTCGTTTTCTGGAAATAGATGGGGATTTTTGGTAGCCTCGTGCGATCAGGTAGATGGGGAAAGTTTTAAATTTTTTTAATAATAAATAAATTATTAAGATGACGTGTCAATTTTTGCTTTGTTGTCGCTGACGTGGTTGATGATTTGGCGCCTCGTCAGCGAACCGTCAAATAAGTGGACGGAGTTATTAACGCCGTCATAGTTTCTAACGAAAATGGCTATATCTGGCACGCAACATTAGGGGTGAACAAACATACCCGCAAACCGACCCACCCGTCCAAACCGACCCAACCCGTGTTCCAACTATTAGTATGAGTTCGTATCTAAAAAATATTTATGTCGTATATAGCCATATTTATGAGAAAATTAAGATATTTCGCCATGTTTTTCTCTCATGGTCTCCCTAATCTAATGCATTATTCGACTTAAAGTTTAGACATAAATTGAATATAGTTATGATTCACGTAATCGTTTTTCTTGTGTACAATTTTAATAGAATAACATATTGTGGGTGCATTTGTTTATAACCTTTTTAGCATATTTCAACAAATATCGTAAAAAACAAGAAATATTTTGAAGTAAATCACATTTTATTAAAATTCAAACAACATTTGTGAAAAAAAAAACCTGCCATTTCCGCGTCCCTCCGCTCTGTTCTCGTTTTTGCTCGTCGATTACCTTGAATCAGGTCGGAATGGCTGGAGGTGGCAGGCATGAAGTCCAACCCAACGAAAGCAAGGAAGAGGGTGGAGGCCGACAATGATGCTTCCATGGTTCGCGCCAGGGACGGCAACGCATTTACTCGATGAAAAAACACAGGGGTCGCTCTGTAACCGTCTCTATGCGGCTGCCGGTTCTGGCTTTTCCGCCTTAGTGCGGCTTTGTTGCCGATTCCGCCCTCCGTCTTGGTGGTGGGATTTCGTGGAATTCGGTGATGCGGCCATGGCGACGGCGTTTCTCGATGTCCGCCACGGAGTGCCGCTGACACCCGTTATGATGCCAATTTCTGTTGGAGACCATGGGGGAATTCATCACGGCGTTGCAGATACAGTTCATCCGGTGGCGTCCCTCAACGACGGCGGGGCGATCCGAGGTACAGTTTTGTCGAGTTCCCTTCAGACGGTTACAAATCATGGCCGATTTCAACCGTCACGAGCTAAGCATAAAGCATTATTCTTTTAATTTTTTAATTTTTCCATAATTCTTTTTGTGTTACGGTTTTCATACACACCCTTTAGGCCTTTCCACTTTTTTATATTCCCCTTATCATTATCATAACTGCACTTTTTTTAATTTGCTGCTTTCTAAATTCTAGCCTTTCTAAACTTCTTTTGCTTGAGAGCTGCAATGGTTTGGTGCTTAACTCGAGACATTGTCTCTGTTTGTTTATGTGGTGATTCGCAAATGGTGATCCGACGAGTAACGGAGATTGTTATAGAGCTTGATCGGGGTGGAGCAATCCTTGAAGAGGTTTGGCTGCTGAAGGCTTCATTCACGTTTATTCGATTTGTTTTCTCTCCTCGTAGAACTAACAGGGCTGCCCATTGCGTGGCGGAAAAGGCTCTTGCATTGCGTGGCGGAAACGGCTCTTGCATCGCGATTTACTAAGGTAGATATTTAAAAAACTAGAAATATTTTGAACTAACAGGGCTGCCCATTCCGCGATTTATTTTTCACTTCTCTGTAATTCCCTATCTATTAAATATCTACCTTAGTAAAAAAAACAACATTTGTGAATTTTGATACCTTTCACCACGGTTTATTCGTTTGAAATTTTAATTAGTTATAGATTTTTTTTATGATGTAGAATAATTATATATTTTATGTTGGGTTGGGTTTTTACTTAAAAATATCGCCAACCCGACCCAACCCAATTAGAAACAAACCGTAGGGTTTAAGTTTTTTAGGGTGGGTTTGGGTTTGATATTTTCCAAACCGTAGTGCATGGGTTGGGTGATAAAATGGCTAAACCTGGACCACCCCACCCATGTACACCCCTACGCAACATCTTTCAAAAGTGGCTATTAGTGGTATTTCGCCAAATGTGGCTATAAGTGGCACAAAGGTGAAAGTTTTGGCTATGTAGGTGTATTTTGCCTATAATTTATAATGACCGTTAGATTATATCTACGGTAGAGAATCATACAAGTATTCATTCCATAGCCTAACTCCTTCGATTTAAAACTAGATCGTCTAACTGAAGCATGCAATCACTATCAAATTGTATTGATTAAGATTTGCTATTGCTAATCTCAATAATCCAAATTGTACCAAATAAGATTTTCTATTGCTAATCTTATTCAGTTATGATAACCAATACATTTCCCAAACACTACAAATACGTTTTAGTTAGAAGGCCATTAAAGATTTGCTATTGCAAACCTTAAATTGAAACTAATTAACATTTTATTAAAAATATTTTAACCCGGACAAAAACTGGTGTCTACAAGTAGTATGGAAGGTTTATTGTCCAAATGCATGGTATGCACATGTAGATAGCTTTTTCATATAATATAGTCACGGTAAAGCCATTGACTTCTATACAAAAATTGTCGTCGTCTTCATTTATTTTGTTTTACTTCCTTAATTATTTTTGTTATTATGTTTAATTGTTACAACATATGTATACAAAACGTGTACATTTAAACTATCAAAATACCTGTACAGCATTGATGGTTAAGATTTGTTATTATCATCGCAAGGTTGCCTGTTCGATTCTCCATATTCTCTTATTTCTTTTACCCACATCCATATAATCATGTTTTAGCTACGCTTGTGGAACGACATCGTCCTGGGGACACTCTCGCTTTAGCAGCAAGCACAAACGATGACGTTTGTCATGTCTCATCGTCTTCCCTGGGCAGTAATTGGAGATAACCATGGTTTTGATGGTTGTTGGGTTTTGATGGCTGTTGGTGAGATAAACGGTTAGCTATGGGGTAGCTTGGGTGAACCGTGAACAGATAATGGCCTTTTGGATAGTCGAATTGGGGTGTGGTATGTTGATGATACAGTAATTTGAACCAAATTAACATGAATTTTGTTTCATAACTTTTCATTAGGCAACTGATCCCATTTATAAGTAATTGAGAAATGTTTCGATAAGTAAGATACAAGCAACAATTCATTAAGAAGGGCAGAACCCGTACAAAAAAGCATTGTGTTCACACACTTAGTACACTTGCATAACAAGATAAATAACATTAAGGCGGACACTAAGCAACTTTAGTAGATTCTATTGACATTGCTGAAATGGTATTTAGTTTGCGGGAGGAAAAAATAATTTTACCAATAACAGCTCAAAATAACTCGACACATTGTTCCAAGGACCCAATGTGACCATAAACTCATAGGAGTTTCCACCAATCAAGTTGATAAGGGTAACGAAATCGGCATTGGCCATATCTTTATCACTTACTACATCTGAAACGATTTTGTGCAAGTTTGTCGATGGGAAAACAACCTCAATATCCAAATAATCATCCTCGATAGTTAGGCGGATCAAATGAACTCTACATTCAGCACACCAGGATGTCTTCACCTCGCCGACACGTCCGGAGATGAGGTAAGAAGTGCCCTGGTGTTTAAAACAAGAAAATGAACTTCAAAAAAAATTAACAAGCATTAACAAACACAATAATTGCAAACGAGATCGAAAGGATGAATGACAAAAAAGTTAATTTCAAATTTTCAATAACCTCATTGTCACCCTTCTCTTGAAACAATGTAAGATCGATTGAATCCGACAAAATAGACATATGTACTGCTTCCTCATACTTCAGCTTTGCAACGAAACCAAGCTCAACCAGAAAGTCGCTATAAAAAACCGTTAGACGTTAGTAATGGCTGACAATAGGAAAAGGAAGTGGAGTAGACTGTCGTAACGATTAGTTGGTAAACAATACTTACGGGTACCATTGCGATATATCATCCATTGTTAGAAAATTACAGCACGGAAACCCTACTCAATTTCTGTTCTTGCACGTACTGTGGATGTTCAATAGGAGTATAAGAACACATTATGATCAACTATTCTAATAGAACGTACCAAATAGTTAACAATCAATTAAAGAAAAGTACCTGCGGCGGTGGAAACGTGGCCGGCGACACCGCGTGGTTAGTCGAGCAGATCGGGAACGAGTCAGCGGCGGAGGTGGCAAGCGATGATGGTGGCCCGCTCTTCTTCCCACAACCGACGTGGTTAGTCCCGGCGACTTTCCTCCACTCTTCTTCCCACAACCGCTACAGCGAATCAGCGGCGGAGGTGGCAGGCGACGATGGTGGCCCGGAGGAGGAGACCGCTACTGAGCGACCAGCGGTTGCTTGACAGGCGGAGGCGGAGACATGCAATGGAGGCGGAGGGAGGATGAGGGCGGTTGAGTATGTGTCTGATCAGTTTGAAGGAAAACCGAAAAGGCATCGCATGGGGAGGGGAGAAAAAGCAGAAGATAAATCGTTTGCTAGATTTGGTAGGTAAGTAGTCTTCCAATTTTCAACTTTGCCATTATTGTTCTCTGTTTTATTTTATTTTTTACAATTGATTATTGTTAAAGAGACAAAGGGAGGGCAGGGGCAGCCGCCGATCTGCTGGACTAAGCCCTATTGGGCCTTGTACAAAAGGCCTGCTTAGGTTAGTTTTGTGTTTTAATTTTACAAGAACTCATTTTATAGTTATAAATAAAAAAGTGTTAGTATATTGAATCAAAATCCTTGTACAGCATGAATGGTGAAGAATGCCCTTGGTAACCACCAGGACGCTGGTTCGACCCTCATACCATTATAATTTTTTTTCCAGCTACACCTATAGAACGACACCGTTCTCCAGGCCACTTTCGATTCAGAGAAGAGCACAAAACGATGCCATTTTTTCATGTATCGTCGTCTTCCCTAGCCCCCCAAATTCCCAATTATCCAGTTGTCGCCGTCACCACCGTAATCCGACGGCCGTCTCTCTTCATCGTCCAAACTTTCTCACTATTCTGGACTCCGACCAAGAGAATTCCCCTCTTCCCTAGCCCCCCAAATTCCCAATTATCCAGTTGCCGCCGTCACCACCGTAATCCGACGGCCGTCTCTCTTCATCGTCCAAACTTTCTCACTATTCTGGACTCCGACCAAGAGAATTCCCTTGACGAGACCCAATCCCCTCTCTCCATTTCAGCCTTAGTCATTGTTTACAGGACGTAAAGGTCATAGTCTTTCACCGTCAATTGATTCGGATTCGTCGCGAAAGGGTAGCTGTCATCTGCGACCTTAAAAACAGATGATGATGAGCCAAAGTCGATGTAGATCAGAAGCAGGGACGATGATGATGATGGACTGATGGTAAAATTAGTGGTTTGCAATTGGGGTATCTAGAAAAATCGTTATGACGATGATGGTGGTTTAGGATTGTCGAATTGGGGCAACCTTTTAATGGAACTTTATTTTATCAATTTTATAATTTTTGGGTGTTCATTAAAAGATCTAGAAGAAATAAGGTATCATCTGAGTCCTCACAAAAACGAATAGGTATCATGTGAGAAAATAAAACGCAAATTATTATTGGGGGGCTATATAGCACATATAATTATTTAAGGGGTGCAAGTAGTAATTATTATTACTAATTTTAATTTAATTTATAATGACCGTTAGATTAGATCTACGGTAGAGAATCCTGTCGCATAGTATGTGTCTGACGCGTACGAGTCGTTTCCATATATATATATATACTTGTTTAATTGAATAGGCCTCTAGTGAGAACCTACTTAAATGTGTGGGAAGACACTTGAAAACCCTTTATGTTCTTTCCTGGAGGCTCAAACTTTTTAATAAATGTTTTTGAATTTGTACGCATATGTGAGACGAAAGCAATGATATTAGTAATTGTCTAATTGATTAGAAATTAAAATTTTGACTGATTTTTCTTAGATCATGTTAAACTTTTTTTTGGTCAAAAGATAATATATATTAATCCAAACAAATAGATAGTTACATCCCGGAAATCAGCCAGACCCGGAAATCAAAGAAGCAATTTTCAGCCGGATACAAAGAGAGGGCTTTTCTAGCTACCGAGTGAGCTACCCTATTGTTCTCCCTACCTATAAACCGCACACTAAACCCAGGATGGGCACGGAAATACTGACATATCTCTTCCAGGACTGCCCGCAACCGGTTGCGCTTGTGTCTGCTTGATTAATTTTGTCAATAATGACTTTCGCATCGCCCTCAAACCGAACTTCTGACAAGCCAAACTCCAAACACCAAATAATAGCCTCCCGAAGCACAAGCAGATATACCACCATTGGCTCATCCACTTGAGGAATCTGCACCCCTTTGGCCAAAAGGAGTGTCCGCACCGTATCAAAAAGAACCATTCTACCAGCCGAGTGTGACCCCCTCCTAGTGGCCCCATCCCACATGCAAACCAATCGAGGATCACCCACCTGATACCCTGGCTGAACCACCGGGAAAGACACCCTCGGCGCCTAGTCAACGGGTAGGCCTACCGACTCCTCATACTGCTGGTGAAACTGGCGCATTAGAGCCAGGATCCCAAACTGTTTGCCCTCAAAGACAACCCAGTTACGCGACCGCCAAATCCGCCAAAGGATGGCAACCACAGCCATGAACAGCGACGGCTGATGGACAAGGGCAAGCATCTGCTTGAGAAACAACGTAAACATGCACCGAGGCAAACCCTCCCCCAAATATTCCAATCCCGAGTAGTCCTAGAGAGCCCGCGCAACCGTGCAGTAAAGAAACATGTGCTCCATCGTCTCAGGGCTATCCCAACATACCGGACACTGGGGCAACACCGGAACCTTCTTTTCGATGAGAGCCTCAGTGGTCGGCAGAGCCCGATGAAAGATTTGCCAGACAAAGACTTTCAGCTTCGAAGGGATCTTAGCTTCCCACGGCCAGATCCAACTGGGCTTATCCATCCAACTGACCGACGATCGCCACCCACCCCTCCTCCTGTCTAACTCAACAGCAAATGATATGCGGATTTAACCGAGAACACCCTGTCAGCTGTGTTATGTCAGATAAGTTTATCAGCCATATTCTGTCACGGAAGTGGAATAGCCTTAATGGCATGACAGGTAGGCGGGTCAAACCAATGACTAAGCTTATCATCAGCCCAACGCCCTTCCCCGTGACAAATAGCCCCCGCCACCAAGGGGTCGCCCCCATCTGGCAGGACTAGGGGATTATAGCAAGGGGGATCCAGCTGTAGCCCTGGGATCCAGTTAGAGTGGAGAAGGGAGGACGATCGCCCATTGCCGATCTGCCATCTTAAACCCGCCTCCAGTAACTGACGCCCAAACAGGATACTCTGCCATCCCCATGAAGGGCGTGAGCGAGCTATTGCGGCCATAAAAGTTCCTTGAGGAAAATACTTCCCTTTATACACTTGAGCAAGGAGGGAATGAGGTTCATTGAGAATACGCCAGGCAATTTTTGCTAAAAGAGCTTGGTTAAAATTTTCAAACCGGCGAAATCCCCATCCCCCCCATCATGTTTACTCTTGCACAGGTTGCGCCAGGACACCCACCGAACCTTGGGATGGCCCTCCTCAGCACCCCACCAGAACCGGACCACATGTCTATCCAAAAGACGACAAAGAGAGAGGGGCAACCAGAAGCACGACATAATATGCAGGGGCAAGGCCAAAGCTATTGACTTAATTAACGTCTCCTTTGCCGCCCAGGACAATGTCCTTTGCTTCCACCCTTGCAGTCGCTCCAGTAATTTCTCCTCTAGATATCGGAACGTAGCCATTTTGGAGCGGGCAATCAAAGTGGGCATTAACTCATGTCCGAGAAGGATGTTATCGATAATTTCCCGGTCTCTTACATACGCATTCTGACCCTCAAAAACGATCTGCGGGAGTAGACTTGCAAGCCGTTCAGCCATGATCTTGGTTATTCCTTTTAAACAAACTGACATAGGCTGATCGGACGCAACTGGCGAATTGTTTCCACAAAATCCACCTTAGGAATCAAAGTGAGCCAGGTATGGTTAAAACTCCGTAGCATGCGACTCGTTGTAAAGAACGACACACTGCTTCAATTATCGAAGTGCCCACAATATCCCAGAATGCTTTGAAGAACTTTCTGGTAAAGCCATCAGACCCCGGAGATTGCTTCGATCTCATTGAAAAGACCATTCTCCTAACCTCATCAGGCAATACCTCAACCGTCAACAATGCATTCATCTGCGGAGTAACCCTCTGGGAAATGGGGAGATTTGCCACCCTCTCAATCATATTAGGAACCTGGGACTCTAAGGTAAACAGAGTTTGGTAAAAGTTGGTAGCAATAGTAGCCTTCCCACTTTCCTCAGTAACCCATTCACCATCATCATTCCGGAGCCCCGAAACAAAATTTCTTTTTTTTTTCGCGCACGAGTGACTGTATGGAAATAAGCATAATTTTGATCCCCTTTTTTTAACCATCGGACTCTGGACTTTTGTTGCCAGTATATCTCCACCGCTTCCCACTGACGAGTCAGCTCCGTTTCCAGGGTCCTGATCCCATCCCAATCCACCGGATGGATTGACTTGATCTGGTCAATCTCTGCATGGAGCGTCTTGATGTTCCGCAAAGAATTCATCGTACCCGCCTGCTCCAGTCATAAAGCAGGTGACGAAGTTTCTTGAGGCGCTCCCATAGTCGAAACATAGGGGTACCTTGGATCGCCTCCTACCAGACATAGTGGACCATAGCCCTAACCTCTGGGTTATCCGCCCAGCGGGCATCAAACGGGAACAGAGGCCGACTATTCCGAGCATACGGTTTATCAGCGAAAAGAAGGGCACGATGATCCAAACCCTGATCGGTAAAGTGTTTGACCAGAGTCTCCGGATAAGTATCAATCCAGGATTGGGAGCAAAGCGCCCTATCCAGACGTTCACGAATGCAAGCTGTACCCATACGCTTATTGGTCCAAGTGAACTGATCTCCTTGGTAGCGTGGGTCATGGAGCCCCAAATCATGAACAAAAGCCCGAAGACTAATGGCTTGCGCATCATTCCATGCCCTACCCCCATCTTTTTCTCCCTCATGGAGGGTAGTGGTGAAATCACCTATGATCACATAAGGGTGAGGAATAGTCGCGCAAACTTCTCGCAGATGAGCCAGTTGATTGGCCTGAACAACAACATTACAACTAATGTAGACAAAGATCACCACATAAGAAAAATCTTCCTTTATTAATTTGCGAACAAATATAGAAATTGGAATGATAGAACACCGAAGTGTCAACCCCGGGGGACCAAGCGACTACTAAACCTCCCGATGCATCGACTGCATCTACAAAAAAAAAATGAGAAACAGGAAAACCTAAACCCCGCATACGACGGGACACTACACGCCGACTCGATCGCGTTTCCGAAAAAAATACGATATCTGGTTTATTAGAATGAACAAGCCCTACAACAGTTTGGAAAGTGAGGGATGACCCAATTCCTCTCACATTCCAGGCCAGAGTAAACATATTTGTTAATCTCAATGTATAGACCTAATAATAATGTGGGGATGAGAATATCCGTTATACTCTGAGTTCTAACGTTGGAGCCAACAACAACCAATGAAAAAGAAGTGACCATATTTGTGAATTTTTAGATCGAAAACAATATTAAACTTTGTTTCTATGATATAATAGCATTTACGTTGATTGATGCCAAAATATTTAGTAAAAATCTGTTAATTTGTTTAGTATCTATATAATACCTATATACGTGTTAAATATTTTTTTTTCTTTTTTGACATGAACATATGGTAAACTCATCAATCGGAATCGGCAACTGCATCATCCAGTCTAATCTGATCAACTAAGTAGATTGGCGGCCTGTCGAGCCAAACCACGCGCTCATCCCATCTCGTACATGCACATGCCATGTTAAATGTGTTAAAAAGTCTCGCTTACTTACTATTATATTATACAGAGTTGTTTCTTTAAAAAAAATTGTTTGGTTGATATTTCACATATTAAAACCCATAATACACTTAATCCACGCAGTTTAAAGATTTAATCATATAGTTAATATTTTGTATTTAGTTGAAATTCTAAAATTTTAGTGGACTGCGTGGCGGGAGAACCGACATCCAAGTGAATTGCCCGCAATGGCTCAAGATAGGGTGCATAACCCACCCATCAATAACTAAATCTGGACACTTCATTCAGAAAATCTAGATATAAGGATGGAGAATTAAAGGTCATTTTTATTTTCCCTTGTTTTCTTAATCGGCTCATATCTTCTTCGTTTTAACTCGGATTTCAATTTCTTTTTTTTTTTTGCACAGATGGAACATGTTCGTTGTGCTCTACAAAACGAGATCCATTTTCAATATTTTTTTAGAATTTGTTTTGCCTCTCGGTACCAACTGCATACCATATGGTATCTTCTTCGTTTTTAATTCATTTTTGAAAACGTATGCACAGAAGGAACGAGTTCATCATGATCTATTGGATCTACAAATTTTTGGGTGAACAAATTACATGACCAAAAAATACCACACAGTACCACAAAGTACCACCCTGGTATGGGGTGGTATATATCTTGTGGTACACAATGTTAAAAGTTGTAAATGACAGTTAATATACTTCTACTATCATGTATTCAACCATCCTATAGTCTTGGTTTGTTCATACCAACATGATACGCTTTTCAAATTATTGGTATGCTCTTATTTCAATACCAGTCAATACCATATGGTATAAATTGGTAAAAAAATGGCTCCATTTTTTGTTCCAAAAATATATCAAAGTGAATATCATTTTGAAGAGCACAATTAATCTGATCTAATTGTGCAAAAAAAATTGAATTTCGACTTAAAACGAGTGAG